CCTATGTACCTATGTATGTACATATTTACATAGAAAACTCACCGTGTCAGTCGCTTATCGATCACTTTACCAATTCGCAATTGCACGTCTGCGAGCGGGTAAGCACAAATTGAGACATAATAAGTACACTTACAAACATACATACATATGGCAGCAGTTTTGTGCGTCACACGCGTTCTTTATTCACCTCTTTTTTTTCTGTAGTCAGTTCTGAAATACACTTTTTTAAATAATGCAATCAGGCAAAATTTGCTTTGTTTATTTTTGGGAAATGGCGCATTTTTCACTGCATATGCAAGTTTGGGCCTACTTGGCATGTTTGCAAGGAAGCAAAAATTGTGAGAAATCTTAGCTCGTTTATGCTATTTTGTGGTCTATTTTTGAACATGTAAGAGCATACATACATACATACGTATACGAATGCATTGTTTACGATCGCAGATAGGCGACAATGAAAATGAGAAAATTCGGTTTTATTCTACTTGTCAACAATTATGTCTTATACAGTTTACTGGGTGTTAAGTTAATTAGAGACTTTTCCAAATGACTATGTACTTATTTAATTCAATTATTAAACGACTTCAAAAAAAACGGGGAAGGTTATCAATTCGTCGGAATATTTTTTATGTATGTCAACGCATAACTTGGGAAGACGTTAACCGAATGGCATAAATTTTTTGTTATATTATGCTGAATTTCCACTAGCCATTAAATGACAACATTTTTAATGACAATGTTGGGCACTAAAAAAATCCCTGCCATCGCATTCATAACATTTTTTTTAATGTGGAGATTTGGCATTACTTGTTTTAAAATTTATACCAAATACTGCATGCTCAAAGAAATTTGAAAAATTTTTAAATTTGTAATGTACTTATTTTACTCAACTTCGGTGTAAAAAAAAATTCATAACTCATATTATTGCGCAATACTCAGAGCTACCATTGTGATTTTTTTTTTTTTTAATTTTTTTGAGATGGCATATTTTCAAAAGCTATTTTTTTAATCAAAAAATTTGTATGTGAAAAATTTTTCAAGAAACAAAAATTTTGTAAATACTGAATTTTGATGTGTGCATGTGTGTGATTTATTTTAAATTTTTTCCTCGCCCCGTTCTCGAGATATTTGGAAAGCTATTAATTAACTCGATTTGTTTTTGTTTTTGTGCTGTAAAGTTTTTAAAAATTTGAATAGCCTTTTTGTAATAACCAGAGACTGGATTTTATTCGACTCTAAATTCGAAACGAAATGTTCATACTATGTTTTCGAATGTACCATTACAATTATATTTTATTGTAGGAACTTATTTCCCCATCTCTTTCAAAAATATTGACTTTTATTAAAGTAAGCAAGATAAGATATTGTTTTTATTTTTTTTTATTTTTTTATTTTTAGACAGCAATTTGTTATTTTTCGGTATTTTTTTAATTTCTTTCCAAACTTCTTTGAACTTTTCTGGGAATTTCAACGACGCACAGTGTTTCGACTATATGGACTCGGATAGAAAAAAGTCATGGTGACAGTTGATAAAAAACAAACGGTTGGACTTAGAGAGGGAATCGGCGCGATACCGAGTAATCAGTAAAGTTGCCTTTGGCGATTAACCCATTAAAAAAAAATGTTTCTTTTTCAACTGTAATCATTTATCTAAATGTCGTGGAATATTCAGGTGAAAGTATTTATAATTTATTTGGTACTTTCCTATTTTCTTACCAAAAAATTTACTTTGAAATTTAGATGCTAAAGATTATTAGTAAAAAAAAAAGTATGAGTACCGGTCCGTCAGGTCTTAGAGAATTTTATGTAGTTTTTGAATATGTAATAATAAATAAATGTACTTTTTGATTTTCTTAATTTTTGATTTTCAGCATATTTATGCATAATTTCGCGAAAAGAATTTTTCAAACAATGAAAAAATCTCACCAGACATTGGGAAAAAAGCGAGTATTTAAACCTAAGTCATTTTATAGTATAACCTTTGTTTTCTGAGAGTGAAAAGCAGGAAAAACAATGTTGCAGAAATTTAATTTTTTCTAAAATAACCAGACGTAAATTGTTAAGTATACGCCATGTATTCTTCGAAATTTTCAATCGATTCGATTTGAAAGTTCAAATCGCGATTATGGCCTTCCAAAACGATTAAGCTTCCTCAATTTAAATTATATAGAAGAAGTTTAACTTTAATTTTATTTAATTAGAAATCTGTAATTCTTCGATCAAGCGTGGCGTGATTCGGGCTCAGATTTGATTCGAAATAATACACTTGTGGCAGAATATAAATTGATGGTCGTTTAAAACCGGGCCATACATTTTTGACCATTTTAATAACAAAACATAAATTTATGGATTTGGAGATTTTCTGGCTTTTTTTATTTGCGAAATATTGCATCTACTTTTTAATCACCATCACTTTTTTTGAGGTTTTGAATTGCAAAAAATGTCTTTGCTGCAGAATCTTGCATTTCTACTATTGATTAATAACATAAAAAAAAAAATTTTATGACTAAGGCATAGAAGAAAGTTATGTTCCATGCACCATATTAAAATGTAAGATCTTAAGTAAATTCACATTTTAACATATTTTCTACATTCAAAATTCACCATTTGTACAAGTGTACAAGCATTTTTGGCGTTCTAACCATTACATTGCATTGCTTTGGTTCATTTATAACGAATATTTAGTTCGTTCGGCAGCTACTATCAGTCGCAAATGAGGTTATTATGCTTACCATTTCCATGGATAGACTTCAAAGTGCACTTGTTTCGAAACAAGTAAACAAAAAAAAAAACAAAAACCAGCGCAAATTTCTTCAAACCGGATAGAGTTGCTTTCAAGCGCTTACAAGCACTTTTTTCCAATTTAAAAACACGGATTTTTTTTTTTTTCAGTAAAGATTTCGCACACTAAGCCAATCTGTGGCGTAGTCAAAAACTTAGAGGACTTTTACTTTTTTTTAAATATCTTCTTAAAATCGCTGAGAAGGTTTCAAAGAATTGCAATGGTGCTGATGGACTCTTTGGAGGAAACACTTTTTTCACTGAAGGCGCACATTTCAAACGATTTATGTAAACAGAAGAATATGAAATGAATCTAAATATTTAGCACGGCAAATGTGGTGAAATAAAATCTTCGGAAAAGGCACTGCGATAGACTTTATGTAATGAGATCAGTGTACGGGCGGGCACTCGAATCGAAATCAACTAAGCTCTAATGAAATTATTGCAATCACATTTATACATAGTACTAGTCAAATTTGTATATGTATACATACATAGAGTTGCACGCTCGTCGTTGGCACTCTCTGACTGATAAGGATAAAATACTACAGTGCCATGTAGATGTGCAGCTAAGAAACAAAACAAACAAAAAAACGCAAGTGAGGCGAATATTTACTATAAATTCGATTTGATTATGCTGCTATAGCGTTACATGTGTAAATAGAGCACGAAAGAGTGAGCGCGTCGTCAAGATTAATGTACTCGCGTTTTTCACACATGCATACCAGCCAACTTACCCTGCAGGAAAATTATGAACTAGTGAAACGAATTTCTGGTTCTATCTTGAAATATTTACTTCCAGTACAATTTTTTTTTAATTACAAGTTGTTTTTCTTATCCCGAGAATCAATCGGCGGGCCCACCCGCAGCTGTTTTGGCCAAGTTGCAGTTATTGGGGAGATTTTTATACCTTTCATGAGCATTAAATGGTATTATAATTATTAAAATGTATACTTCTATGATCAGAACGTCGAGCTGAGCCGATTTAGCCATGTCGGTAAGTAAGCGTATTTATAGAATATATTAATCATTTGTCGGAACCCGAAAAATCGGACTCCTCCATTTATGCAGCTAGGAACATGAAATTTCGGACTATGTTCACTCATTATCAACAGAAAGTTTACAGCAAAAATAACAGCGATCGCATCACTTTAACCTATTGCCTCCATACAACTGATTTTTCAGATATGGGGTTTTACTGTAAAACTCCTTTATTTGGACAGCTAAAACCGAGATACTTCGTGAGCTATTTTTTAAATAATCATACAAAGTCTACTAAAAAATCGTTAAAATCGGTGTTGTATAAGCTTTATCTTCTACATCTACCACTGATTGTTCAGATACAAGTTTTTGCGATATAACTCATTTATGTAGGTGGATAAAGCCATTAAATTGTGTTACCGGTTTACATACCGATCACACAGCAGTGAAAATCACCTAGATTGTAATATCTTCCATACCTTTGATTGATTAGATATACGTTCTTATACATATATGTAGCTCCTCTAACTACTATAAGTGTGCTGTGAATATACAAAATTTTTGAAATGCAGTAATCTGTTAAAGTAGAATTTTCTGATGTTCATAAAAGGTATGAAGTCTTCGGCATACTCGAAGACAGCGCTGCTCTTACTTGTTTTTTTTTACCCCCGAAGCATCGGCTGATTCTTTGGCGATTAAATCCTGAATATAATTTCATTTAAGGAACAAATGCATTTTTAAATTTTTATAATAACAAAAGGAAAACATAAAAAAATAACTAAATAACAATTGCTCATTCAAGAATCGGCCAAACACGGCCGATTCCGATTCTCTTGGCCGATACTAGCCTCGGCATTGGCCGATTCATCGGTCCGACTCTAGCGCCAGTTCGCAACTGGCAAAAAGGGAATGCGGAATGAACCTAGGACATCGCTAAATTCAACAGTTTCATTTGTAATTCGTCATCAAAATTATTGCGTACAAGTCGTGGTTTTAAATTAGTAAGGGTCGTTCTTGTTGGGTACAAGTGGATTTTCCTACAGGTTTTTGTGAGCCATTAGCGCGGTCTGCGTTCGTTATAGCCGATTTGCCCTTTGTTGGCATTCACCACTTGCATGCATCTTATTTATGTATAGAAAGAAGTATTTATGTATTAATGTATACTTGATTGTAAGTTTGCGTCTAGCGAGAGTTCCGCTTTTACATAAGTATGTTCAAGAAGTAATTATCAGAGGGATCAACAGATCGGCTCTGAGTTTCATTAAGCAGACTTAGTGTAGCGACAATTTCATCAGTATAAATAGCTTTGTTGAATTAAATACTACTATGTCAGACAAAATAATAAAATAACAAAGATATTTAAAAGATGTCAGGTGTATGTACAAAGGCATGATACAAAGGTAAAAAGATATCGTTTTTTTTATTTTTTATTTTTTATGCGGAACGAATCTGATTTTCCAGGAATTAAGAAAAATTCAAAAAATAATAATAATTTCAATTTCTTGGATAAATACTTTATTACTTATGTAGAAAAAAAAGTAAAAATGTGAATCATTCTTAAACGTTGTGTTAAGTTAAGCTGATTGTCCCAAGATAAGGGACAAACTTACGCCATTGGGTTTTTGTGGTATCCCTACGGACGGTAAATCGCTGCGCGCTCATTTTTGCAAATCGAACAAACGATGCGGATCTAATGGCATTGATTATTAAATAATTTGAGTTTAATTGTTTACCAGGTGACAACTCTCTTCGAAAAAGTAGTACCTTATTGCACATCTTCAGCCCACGCCTTTTAATTTGACACCTCATTTTGGAAAATCGAAGGAACAATGCAGATCTGATGACCTGGACAAAAGATCCCTTTGCGCCTTATATATATATGTATGTATATAGATTAGCATAAAAAAGAGTGGAGTGCAATGTGGTATAGTCGTTCATTGCGATGAACTAGTTCATTAGTTCTTTTAGTTCATGAACTACACCCAAGCCTAATACACACATACATACATGTAGGTATACGTTGGGTTTAAAAAATTTTAAAATTTCTTTGTTGTTACGCGGATAACTTTCAGGGCTAGACTTGCTTCTAACTCTGTACTATGCGTATTTGTTTATGTGTGACTGTTTGTTATCAGTGCGAGCGCACATACATACATATGGCTGACAGTTTAAAATTAATATGTGAAGCCGCGATTACCTTTATTTTTTCTAAATATTGTCTAATGGGGCAATAAATTTTGTTTTCAATTGCTAAAAACATATGGGCCGTCGGTCAAGGGGGTCCATTTAAACATATGTATGTATGTATGTATGTATGTATGTACATGCGTACCAAATATACATGGACCTACTACTTGTACAATTACTCATACATATGTATACACTTGTGCATAAAGCTGTTATAACGTTGTTGGCATAGCGGTTGTTTGTAACAGCATAAAGGAATCGAGGTAGATATAGACAAATGTATACCGAAATTCTCATAATGAAGAGAGAATTCGATTAAGCCATTTCTGTCTCTTCGTCCAAGTACCCTATAACTGCAAGGCAATTTTAGATATCTCAACGAAATTTGGGATGTAGGTTGCCCTTTATCAAAGTTAGGTTGGTATTTCAATTGGGCGAAATCGGACGTTAACTACGCCGATCTCACATATAACGACGTTTTTCGCAAAATGCAATAGTTACGTTATTTCTGTAAGTATTGCATCCAATTGGCGCTGGGCCACTTTCTATTCAGCTTAATAGTACATGTCAATAAAATGATAAAACTTAAAAAAAAAAAAAAAATAAAAAATTGTTGAAAGTTAGAATGTGAAATTTAATTTTGGTACAAAATAATAAAACGGTAAAATGTTGAGAAAATGGGTGTGGCACCGTCCACTTAAATGCTGTATCTCGGTAATTCCTTTACCAATCCGCACCAAAATTGCGACAATTGACCATTTTTTCAAATCGAACAATAATCACGCCCACCTCCGATATAGCGGTAATTGACTCAAAATGGATATTTACATACAATAATAGCTTAGCAATAATGAGATTATTACATTCTTTTTTAAATGTATGTGTCACCGACCCCTTATGGCTATCTCGGTAACCGATTTATTAATTTCAACCAAGCTCGGTACACTTTGTTGCCTTTGATACAAAAAAGCAATATTCTGAAAATTTTTTAAATCGGAGTAAAGTTACGCCCACTTCTCATATAACGGTATAAATTTCAGAAATTCGAAAACTCTGATACATATTTCAATAACTAAGGGCGGTAATTTACTCAAAGTTTATACGTACAAACAATCTCTTAACAAGAAATAAGACTATTCGAGATTTATTGAAAACGGTATGCGCTTTGTCGCTTTCTACTTGGTCTAATTATTTTGAAATCGGGAAAAGTACACTTGCTTACCATTTTACAGAAAGCTGAAAAAACGATACTTTATTTATACATACTTCTTTCCTTGTTCTAAAAAAAGAATTGAATACGCTGAGAAGAGAGTAGGCTAAATATTTTTCTCTCAACACAAGATTTTTTTAATTTTTTTTTTTTAGCTATAACCAAATAATGTAATAACCAGAGGGAGAGTACTACTTTTGTACCAAGCGCTTATCAAGGGTTAATAAGCTTAACGTCTGCTTCAATGTTTAATAACCATAGAGGAAAGCAGCACATGCGTACGGAGCATAGCATGCGATTCATTGGAGAGCACTGCCCTCATCAAACAACAAAGACGCGAACAATATTCTTAAAGAAAGCGCTAATAAGTGTGCTCTCATTCAATTTGCAGAAAACTTATGAGTGTAATACATGTACATATACATACATTGTACATATGTATGTATACAAATATTAACATAAAGTAAATTATTAGTATCGCACACGTACATCAAAAATGTTTTAACTCCAAATTTACCATTTTCCAGAAAACACAAGACACTCATCAGCCTTATCATGAATTTTTATTTCGTGTGAACTCGTTCACATTTCGCCCATACAGTTGACCTAGGTATTGTATGTTAAATATTCACCAAGCGAAGTAGTTCACTTCGCAAATCGGGGAATTCCCCACGAGTTGACTTCCCTGCTTCATATATAAAAATGTTGTGTGTTCGTTTGTCACGGTCGTCAAAACTCGAGAGCGGCTGAACCGATTTGAATATTTTTCATTTTTTTGTATTGTTCGGTATAAAACCAGGATCAATGATATTACAAAAAAAAATGGAGGATTGCCACCTATTTGATAATTTTTAAACCCAATTATATTGATAAAATAAATGAGTTATTACAATATGGGTATCAAATTAAAGAGGTTTAAGAAAGATAACTGTTGGAAATATTTTCCAGGAGGGTTGCCACCTATTTGAAAGTTTTAACTCAGTCAAGTTGATAAAATAAATGAAGTATTGACCTGTGGGTGTCAAACTACAGATCTTTAAGAAGGCTTATGGCCGAAAATATGTTTGAGGAGGGTTGCCACCCGTTTGAAAATAAAGTACATCGATAAAATAAATGAAACATAACAATATGGGTATCAAATTAAAGAGGTTTAAGAAAGATAACTGTTGGAAATATTTTTTAGGAGGGTTGCCAATTATTTTAAAATTTTAACTCCGTTAAATTGATAAAGTAAATGAAATATTGCAATGTGGGTATAAAACTAAAGAGAAGAAAGTTTGCCAATGCCCATGTCTGCCATTGTCAACTTAGAAGAAAGTTTGCCCATGCCTGCCATTATCCAACGGAATTTTTGAACTCGATTGATCTTCCAGGGATTGAAAATAGGTGTGACAATTAACATGTTGCGGAATATTAATTAGCCAAAACTCTGCAACGGCAAGCGACTCGCAGTTAAGAAATTGATGAACAAACAACGTAGTGAAAGCAAAGATTTTAACGTGCCTTTCAAGAAGGTGAAGAATTCCCATGATGAATTCCCTAAATTTGTGTGACAACTTCACACACAACGCAAATTGGAGAAGCTCGGACAAATACTTAGCAAACTATGGAAGCGCCAGGTATTTATCTATTATTTTCTTATCACCAGACTTCTTCAGTTTTTCTAGCCATAATATTTTGTGCTGCTTTGTAGTATTGCGCTTGCTCAATACATCCAAAAACTTCGTGATATATTTTTATTTTTAAAACAATAAAAACTAAAAGAAAATTAAATAAAAAGAAAACCATTAAAAAATAAAATTAAAAGAAAAATAAAAGAAGTTTAAAAAAATTTATTTCATTAAAAAATCTATATATTTTTCTTTTTAAAACAATAATCTCTAAAAATTAAAAGGCAATTTATTTAAAAAAAGACAAGAAGTTTCTAAAATAAAATGAAATTAAAAAAAATTGTTTTCCTTTTAAAACAATAAAGCCTAAAAATTAAAAGAAAATTTATTTAAAAAAGATAAAGAATTTAATTGAAGCAAAATAAATAAAACAAGTTCCTAATTAAATTAAAGTAAAAAAAAACATTTTTCCTTTAAAAGGGAATAAAATCTGATACTTAAACGAAAATTAAATCAAAGAGTAAAGTACATTAAATTAAAAAATAAGACAATAACAATAAAATGAATACCCAAAAAATTAAATGGAATTGAAAAAATATATTTTTTACAATAAAATTTAAAATAAGTTTCAAAATGAAATTGAATTAAAAAAAATATATTTTTTTTTCAATTAATAATATTTTAAAGTTAAAAGGAAATTGAATTAAAAAAGAAAAAATAAATGAAAAAAGAAGTACATAAACAATATTACAAACAGTTTCACGAAAGCAATTTAAGCGAAAAATAATTTAATAATTAAATTAATAATTAAATAATAATGAAAAATTAATTTTATTTGAATTTAATATGAAAACTGACAGCAGGGAAAAATCCTTTTTCACTTAAATTGCTGGTGAAACCGGAAGTAAAAATTTAATTAAATTGAAAAAAATGCCTTATTAATTTAATTGTTTTTTTAAATAATAAAATATAAAAATTAAAAAAATAATAATAATTAAATAAAGAAAAAAATTTGGAATATATTCAAGTGCTTTCTCTCAGTAGAGTTTTCTTTTTAATTTCGCAAAGTTTTTTTTTAATTTCGCAAACTGGCACCCTAATGTGTACACAAAAAATACATACATTGTTTTGTCGATACTCTTTGACGCACATTCAGACAACTTTCTACTGCAAACACTGATGTCTTTATGAAATTAGGTAATATGCAAATGAAGACAGACATGGGCTGACAAACTATGTAGCAAATGAGCGCGTCGATATATCAAAACCACCCGACGAAAGCTGTAAACTTAGCAAATGGAAAAAAACTTACACACATCTGCATGGGTGTCGATAGGTGCGAGTTAACCCATACATGCATTGCATACATACATATGTACATACTCATGTGTTA